GCCCGTCCCCGCATTGGCTGGCAGATCGATCCTTTTGGTCATTCCCGTGAGCAGGCCTCGATCTTTGCCCAAATGGGCTACGATGGAGAGTTCTTTGCCCGCATGGATCACAGGGACAAGAACAATCGATTGGATAATCTGGCCATGGAAATGATTTGGGATGCCAGCGAGTCGCTGACCAACGATGAGCTCTTCACTGGCCTGCTCTACCGCCACTACTCGGCACCTCCCGGCTATTGCTTTGACGTGCACTGCGGCGACGATCCCATCATCGATGCCAAGAGCTACGACAACAATGTCAAATCGCGAGTGGACGACTTTCTCAGCTACGTTTCGAATGTGGCCAAGTACTACCGCTCCAATCACATCATGATACCCATGGGCGATGATTTCCAGTACGAAGATGCTCAAGTTAACTTCAAGAACATGGACAAGCTCATCAAGTAAGCATTACAGACTAGACTTGAGCTGATGCCCCGATATTCACAGTCCCACCTAGGTACGTCAACGAACGCCAAGCGGACGGCTCCACCTACAATCTGTTCTACTCCACCCCGGCCTGCTATCTGAACTCCGTACATGAGGGGCTACAGACTTGGCCCAACAAAACCGACGACTTCTTCCCCTATGCCAGCGACTCCAACAGCTTCTGGACAGGATACTACACCTCTCGACCCACCCAAAAACGCTTCGAGCGCGATGGCAACCACATGCTGCAGACTGCCAAGCAGCTCAGTGTCTTTGCCGATCTGAAGAGTGAGCAACAGAAGGAAGACCTCGATTACCTTCGCCAGATAATGGGAGTAATGCAACACCACGATGCCATCACCGGAACGGAGAAGCAGGCGGTGTCCAACGACTACGATCGACTGCTCTATGATGGCATTATAGGAGGAGCCAGCAATGCGCGAGATGCCCTGCGAGTGCTGACCAATCTGCCAGAGGGGGAGTTCGAGAGCTGCCTGCAGCTGAACATCAGCGAATGCGCCTTCACCCAGGACAGTGCGGACAATGTGGTGGTGACCCTGTTCAATCCATTGGCCCAAACCTCCTCACAGTATGTGCGAGTACCCGTGAAGGAGGAGAACTACCAAGTGACTGACGAAAAGGGACGCCTGGTGGCCTCTGAGGTGGTGCCAGTGGCCTGGCAAGTCCTGGCTCTGGAATACCGCCAGAACACAACTCAGCACGAGCTCGTGTTCAAGGCATCCGTGAACAAGATCGCCAGCTACTACATCAAGAAGGTCGACAAGGTAGAAAGCAAGGAAAATGTCTTATCTACGGCTGACCAAAAGCCTATGACGCAACTCGAAAAGAACTTGGAAGTGCTTAAGCGATTTAAGAAGGTCCATTCCATGCAGAATGTGGAGACTCACGCCGATGATGATTCCGAAACTGTGGTCCAGACATCGGAGATCAAATTGGTGATCGACAATAATACGGGTCGCCTGAAGAACGTTGAGATGAACGGAGTGTCCGAGGCTATTGACCAGAACTTTGCCATTTATGAGACATATGAATCCGGAGCTTATGTCTTCCGTCAAAAGGAAGACGTTGATCTGAAATTCTTGGAAGACAAGGTGGAGTTCACAGTTTACGATGGAGCTCTGGTGAAGGAAGTCCATCAGCAGTTCAGCGAATGGATCTCCCAGGTCATTCGCATCTACGAGGGTGTCAACCGTGTGGAGTTCGAGTGGCTCGTCGGGCCCATTCCAACTGACGAGGATACCGCCAGGGAAATTGTGACAGTTTTCGATAGCGAAATCTCCTCGAACGGCGTCTTCTACACTGACTCCAATGGGCGCGAGATGATCAAGCGTGTAAAGGATAAGCGAGAGGACTTTAACCCTGATCTAGGCAGGCAGCCAATTAGTGGAAATTATTACCCAATCGTCTCCCGCATTGCCCTGGAGGACAGCAACAAGCGCATTGCTCTGCTCAACGATCGTGCCCAGGGTGGAACCAGCATGCAAAACGGACAGTTGGAGCTCATGCTCCACCGTCGTCTTGTTCAGGATGATGGATATGGTGTGGGAGAGGCCCTGAACGAGCAGAAGTACGAGAAACCTCTCATTGCACGCGGAAAAGTCTACTTGATCCTCAACTCTGTGGAGGAATCGACCAAGGTGGAGCGTTTGGCCGAGAAGGAGATTCATTTGCCCTTTTGGAAGTTTTTCAGTAGTTACAGCAAAGCTAACAGGAATTCCGGTGCCAAACCATTGCCCGACTTTAATTTATTGCCAAAGTCGGTCCATCTCCTNGAAGGTCCATTCCATGCAGAATGTGGAGACTCACGCCGATGATGATTCCGAAACTGTGGTCCAGACATCGGAGATCAAATTGGTGATCGACAATAATACGGGTCGCCTGAAGAACGTTGAGATGAACGGAGTGTCCGAGGCTATTGACCAGAACTTTGCCATTTATGAGACATATGAATCCGGAGCTTATGTCTTCCGTCAAAAGGAAGACGTTGATCTGAAATTCTTGGAAGACAAGGTGGAGTTCACAGTTTACGATGGAGCTCTGGTGAAGGAAGTCCATCAGCAGTTCAGCGAATGGATCTCCCAGGTCATTCGCATCTACGAGGGTGTCAACCGTGTGGAGTTCGAGTGGCTCGTCGGGCCCATTCCAACTGACGAGGATACCGCCAGGGAAATTGTGACAGTTTTCGATAGCGAAATCTCCTCGAACGGCGTCTTCTACACTGACTCCAATGGGCGCGAGATGATCAAGCGTGTAAAGGATAAGCGAGAGGACTTTAACCCTGATCTAGGCAGGCAGCCAATTAGTGGAAATTATTACCCAATCGTCTCCCGCATTGCCCTGGAGGACATCAACAAGCGCATTGCTCTGCTCAACGATCGTGCCCAGGGTGGAACCAGCATGCAAAACGGACAGTTGGAGCTCATGCTCCACCGTCGTCTTGTTCAGGATGATGGATATGGTGTGGGAGAGGCCCTGAACGAGCAGAAGTACGAGAAACCTCTCATTGCACGCGGAAAAGTCTACTTGATCCTCAACTCTGTGGAGGAATCGACCAAGGTGGAGCGTTTGGCCGAGAAGGAGATTCATTTGCCCTTTTGGAAGTTTTTCAGCAGTCACAGCCAAGTGAACAGGAATGCTGCTGCCAAGCCATTGGCCGACTTCAATGTCTGGCCACAGTCGGTGCATTTGCTTACCCTGGAACCCTTTTCAGAGCATGAGGTTCTGCTGCGCCTGGAGAACTTCTTGGATCACATTGAGGGTAATGTGGTTAGCTTCAACATACGCTCGATCCTTGATGACTTGGGCGGTGTGGAGATCCGGGAGACCACCTTGGATGGCAACATGCCACTGAGCGAGATGAAACGCATGAAATTCCAGCACGATGCTGCTGGCTCTAGGCCCAAAACAGCCGAGTTCTTCACATCGCAGCACAAGCCCTTGGTGGCGCATAAATCCCAGGCGGACTCCAAGTTCAGTGTCAGCCTGAAGCCCATGCAAATTAGAACATTTATCATAAGAAATGAGTAGATTTCAGCTGAACTCTAGGGCCAATGGTTGTGCAAAACATGATAGATATTGTTTTTTGTTGCAAGTGCAAATAATTAAAATTCAAAAGTGAAATATTGGAAGGCTAGCCTAACGGCTGCTCAGCATAATGCGGCTACATTTGCCGCATTGAGTAACCCCACCACAAAATCCCCACTGCCACTGGCATACGTACTTTTGGTTATTTGGTGACCCCGTACTGCCATCGAGCTTTCAGCTACGTGTAGTTGGTACATGTACAGCACTTGTGTGTATAAATATTTATCTATATGCTGTAGAGCTGTATCCCTGCTGCTGCTTGGCTGCTATTCTAATGCTGCTAATGTCTAGCACTCGAAAAAAGATTTGCGCCTCTACCTACAAAATACTTTTGTGCCGTAATCATACACACAGACTCGCATAAGGATTGCTGTTGCAGGACTTTGGTCCCTGGGCTTTTATTATTAAGTTCGCCACGGGAGACTTTAATCTGTGGCTGCTCCTGCTTGGGACAGGAGACGACCACCACCCGGCACTCTCCACTCTCTGCACTGCGATGCAAAACAATGAGCCAGCGAATTCATGCCATATGTGTGTGTAATACGTCCTGTGAGCAGCAGTCCCTGGTTTTGGGCGATGGGTAAAAATTATTTAATATTACCCGTCTTAGGCAATGAGGCGGAGGGAGGCGAGGCGAGGCGAGCCGTGGACCAGGGCCCAATCGAGGCTGTTGAGGCGTTGTTTGGTCCTAATCCTTGTGCGAGTATTAGACATGGAATTTAATTTAGTTTCAGCTGCAGCTTCGGGCATGGCAAAACCTGCCTGCCCGCCTGGCCATATGTGTGCCAAGTGCCCCATGCTGTTGTCGGTTTGCCGTCTGCCGTCTGCCGTCTGCCGTCTGGTTGCCGGTTGCCGCACTGTCAAACTTTTGCTTTGCCGACTTTCGGTCGAGTTGGCGCTTTTAATTCAAAGGAAATACACACCACACCCACATCCCACAGCCCACACTCTTTGCTGACACTCCCACTGTTTACTTTCTGAGCTGCAGATAATCCAACTTTGATTAAGTAATTTCAGCATCGGAAGCCCCAGAACCAGAACCAGAACGTAATATGTTGGGTGTTGAAAATCCTACGACTCAGTCGTATTCCCATGAGTGTGTGGGCTGGGGCGTGGCTTAATGCGGAACAAAAAAAGAAACCGACACCCCCCTGTCAAAAGTGTAAGACAAAGCCTTCTGGCTGCCACTCCATTTGGACGGACTCCCGCTGCTGTTTATTTTCGAGCTGTCTGCAATTTTTTGGGAATTTTGCATTGAAGTTGTCCTGCAATTACCATAATAACGCGTTAACGAGTTCACTTTCATGTGGAGTTTTCCATAATTGATTGGCATTTTAATGCTCATCGAAAAGGTATGAAAATATTGGTGAAATGTGCAAAATTTGTGCACCAATTTGCTGTGACAGTCACAGAGCTCAAACGGGACTAGAGTCAGCCGGAAAACAACAGACCATGCAGCCCAAAAATAGAAGTGGGAAAAATAAAAGGGTAGAGCCAAAAACACAATAGACAAATGGCAGAACTAAGCGGCTAAACAAATATCGAGCCATCGAGCATAAATCCTCTCACTAAAACGCGCACTCGACAACTCAATAATACCAACGAATACGAATACGAAAAAAACAGAAAACAGGGGGCCAAGTGTGCTTTTTGGCACTTCAAATACAGAAATACAGGAGGGAACTGCAGTCGGCTTATAGACAATCGCCCAGAGGCTAGGCCCCGGCCCCCCCACAGGCGACCCCAAACGACCATACGAAGCGGTAAATTGTGGACAAGTCTCTGTCTCTGCATCTGTGTATGTGTGTGTGTGTGTGTGTCATTTTAATCAACGGCAACATGCACAGCAGATTATCCGACAGCTAAACAACACCAAGCATACCCTCGAACCCCCGAACAATGTGTCAATGAATGGGCAAAGCGTTTCGCTTTGACAATTGCCACTGACTGCCATCCTTGCTCCGCATAACAATTAAATGCGCAGTGAGAGGCCCAAGCCCAAGCCTACTTAGGGTCTATAAAAATCCGCACACACACATAATGCTTTTCATATACATTTTATACGAGTACGAGCAAGAGGTGTATATTCACGTTTTTCCAAGCGTTTGCGAATTTATTGAACCGCAACAAATGTCATTGATGTCATCATCATCTGCCACTGCATCATCATCGTCATCATCATCGTCATCATCATGGGACTTCCCTTCCACAAGCGCATCCGAATCTTTTTTTTTTTATTAGCAACAAGTTTTTAATATCGCAGCAGGCGAGCTCAATATCCATCGGAGGTAGAGACACCATAAAAATGCCTCAAACTTACAACAATAGCGCCCCAGTCGTCTATCAATAGAGCTCTCGCTCTCTATCTCTCTCCCTCTCACTGACTCTAGCGAGACCCATTCTCCCAGAGGAGAGCGCATCCCTCAGCGAATGCCGATTTTATAAGAATTTAATATGCGCCACGTATTTTGATGTCGAGGATGTGTTTCGGTTTATTTCTATTCTTCCTTCTTTTTTGCGCTGTGCCTTCAAATCATTCACACTGCGATGCGGCTGGAGAGTTGCACATGTAAAGTCCTCATTTAAAATTGTGTGCACAACAAAGGTATATTTCATAAAATTATAAATAATATAAATAATAATAATATCAGGAATGCATTCACACTCAATAAACTTTAAATTTCTTTGCATGTCCATTGAAATGTCTATTTCAGAGTTCAATGTAAATGATAATTTCCATCACTGCCGTCCAATCTTTCAACAATTTTGATGGTTTCTTCATTACATCATAACGATTATGAAATAAATACTTCCGTTTCTTTTGAGAAATATCGCGTGGATATGGTATGGGAGGGATTTCGGGATGTGCGACTCCTGCCCCTGCCCCTGCTCCTGCTGCTCCTCTCCGCTTGGTGATTTTCCATAGAGAAGAAATAAATCAACTGCATGTCCTGTTCCTGGCGATTGCCGGTGTGGAGGGAGACTGCTGCCATGTATTTATTGTTACGTTTTTAAGTTTGGAATTTTTAATTTATGGCTCATCCTTCATTGTTGAAAGTTATAATTCTTTCTTGCTGGAGTCGGAAGGGGGAAGGGTCTGCTTAAGGAATAAAATATATTTGCCAGAGAGTCTCAAAAATTATGATGTATGCGCAATAAATAATCCCAAATAAATAAATTATCACCCAGAAGTTTTCAGGGAAGAGGAGAAACCTCTGCCGAGTGGCGCAACTAATAGATGTCCGGGGTAAGGTTCCTTATGGGACACATTCCTAGGAGCAGAAGTGTTCGCTTTGATTTGTTGTTTCCCTGGCGGTTTTACACATTTACAAGGGTGCTAATGTTAGTTTTGTGCACTGCTTTTTTTCTCTCTTCTTCGGTTGTGTTCCTTTGGCAATCCTTTTGGCTCGGGCCATAAATCTAGACTTGATTTGGCGCCTCGCATGTGTCGGTGGCACAGCCTTTGTCTATTTGCCTAGCACACGGCGCATCCCTTTGTTTTAATGCGCCAAATATACTCGTACACGTTGTCGTCCTTGGCGTGGTTGACTCCTTCCGCCTCTTGCCTGCCAACTGACATTTTTGTATAGGTTTTTTCTCGCCTTTTTGCGTTCTCTTTTAGCTTTGGGGGTTAACCCTTTTAACCCTTGGCAACCGACTGCCGACTGCCTCTACGGTTAACCACGGCGACAGCGTTAGCCTGACATTTTTCCAGGACATATTGCCACGACACTGAGGTCAACCTTTTTCGTGTTCATTGGCTTTCCAGCGAGCGGCAGGCTGACTAGAAATCGGAGTCCGCACTCTGCCCATTCGGATTGTTAGGTTCTATTCCTTTTTTTGGGGGCCAACTCTGGCAATTTAAATTCATTTGAAAAGTATTTTCTTTAATGTTGGCAATTATCGAATAAGTCTTGGCGATCATGAGGAGATGTAGGAATGTTTGCAGATTTGTTTGCAGATATTTCGTTCGAATATTTATACGTCTTGACTATTAAATTGTATCTGCCTAGCATTGACTTGTATTATTTTCCTATAAAAATAAACTCTGTAGACCATCGCTTCAAAAACCTTGCCACAGAAAATTGTTACATATATTTATCAACTTTTGATCTGAACAAATTTAGAATTCCATAAAAAAAAGATAGAATAGGAGCAGATATGAACCCCCTTAGCTTGACCACGTTCCGCTCATTTGACAGAAGGTGTGGCAGGGTCAGGGGCATGGGCCCGAGAGAGGGAACGAGGAGATGTAGCGGTGTGCGCTAGGAGCATCATTTTGCCGTTACTGTCTTTGTCGCAATGTCGTAAATAAAGTCGGGGCATGTATCCTCGGCGTACATTGGAATTTATGCGCGTTGATTTATTTGCTGTTAGCGATTTATTGCTGCCGCAGCCGCATCCCATCGAGAGAGGCACACACAGAAGGAAAGAGAGAGAGAGAGAGAGAGAGAGCGAGAGAGAGAGACAGAGATAGGGAGATATGTATGTGATGTGACTGCGGACATCGCCAGGCAGTAGCAGGATACACGTTTTGGGCATGTCCTGGTTTGTTTTTTTTTTTTTTTGCACCAATCCTGTGCCCCGCTCGTTATTAAGTTTTTAATTTATGGCCATGTGAATGCAATGGGATGCAGATCCAAAAAAGGATCTCCCCTCGCTGTGCCTGTTCTTTCCACGATTTTTGTCCATATTTTATTTTTCGTAATAATTTTACTAAAATTATTTTTTAATTGAGCGCGCCACCCATCCAACTGCGGCACAACCTTCTGCCTTATGCCTCATCAGTCCCAAGCCTCCCCATTTCCCATGCCCGTGCCCCATTCCGTCCACACTCTAATCCCCAGCGGCTGTCAAATAAACGCCCTGCGTTGACAGTTTGCCACTGACAGCAGCGGCAGCAGCAGCAACACCAGCAACGGCATCAACCGGCAACAAAAATATTGAAATTATTATGATTTTGTCTCTCTGGCAG